AACCAATCCCCCATTTATAACATTGTTTCCTATGGGAAAGTCGGTTCTGAGTTACGTTTCAACTTAAGATGCCGTTTTCAGGAACCAATTGCGTCGTAAGTCTGAGGACTGCCTGTAATGTTAAAAACCTACTTCCATTAAAATTTAAAAATACACAATGTTAAGATGTGTAGGAGCTGTATTAAAGCTATTTATATCATTATCCAGTATCTTAACTGAAATGGAAAGGTATGTTATAACTAGATAAAAACATAATTAATACTCTTATTAAAACTGAACTGTACTGCTACAAACCTTACCTTTGGCGGTTGCATAGGCATGTCCATTAGCAATTATTTGTTTTATAAAAGAAATTATCTGAGGAATGTTTTCAGTCACTCTCATATATATTGTAGGTGGAAGAACCTTAAGTAAAGAAGCAATAACAACTCATTAGCCTATGCATCCCGTATCCTACTGACACGTTACTTCCATTTAAGGCAATATAAGCACTTTTGTAGGAACACTGTCAATTCAAACAACATTTTTCTCAAAATTTTGCTACTCTAATAGTCCCAGTTGGCATCTAAACTGACAATTACAAAAAAGCTTGCAAAAAATAAAGCCAGACATTTTTCTCCATTCTTCCTCAATTGATCCGCCTTGTGCATTTAAAACATGTAAGCCAGATGCAGAGTATTTTAAAGGCACTGGAAAGACAGATCTCTCCACCAAACTTTAAATCAGACTGTTTATATATTATTAATCATGTTACACTTTTGCCACAACCAAAGTTGGACCCCATTGTGCTAGACCCTGTGCAAACACAGGCTAAGACAGGGGTGGGCAAAATGGCAGACCTGGCTGGCAGCCAGATTCCATTTCCCAGCAGCCCCTGCCCATATGGCTAGGGTTGGTTTCCACAGAGACCCCAGCACCAGCTGCACTGTGATAGCACAAGGCTGCACTTTCCGTGGAGACCAGCCCCAGCAGCACTGGCAAAGCTCATGGCAGGACGGAGAGTTGCTCCGGAGCCGCTGGGAAACTCGTGGCGGTAACAGCATGGTCCAGAACCAGGGCAGAGGCAGCCTGCATGCTCTGGGCATTCAGGCAGTGGGTTGCAGCTCTGTCCCGGCTCCAGACCACACTGTCACTGCTGTAAGGATCCGGGGCAGAGCTGCGACCTGCAGCCTGCATGCCTCTGCCCTGGCCCCAGACCATGTTGTCACCATCACAAGATCCTAGCGGCTCTGGAGCAGCTCCCCACCCAGCCAGCACTGCTGGGGTCAGTCTCCATGGAAACCCCAGCCTTGCACTATCACAGTGCAGCTGCTGCTGAGGTCTCCATTGAACCAGCCCCGGCCATGCAGGCAGGGACTGCTGAGAAATGGAGTCCACTGCCAGCTGGATTTGGCTCGTGGGCTGGACTTTGCCCACCCCTGGACTGACTACTGCTGCACTAAGAACTTAACAATAGTTCATCCCTTCACCTAAACAGTCAGTTTCTTCTCTACCAAGAGGAACATAAGGGGGTCAGATGTAACAAAGAACTTTTAAAAGAAATGTTAAAAAACAAACAAACCGTATTTTACCATAAATTGAATATTTTTTTAAATTAGCCAATTTAGGGGGGGGGGAAAAAGCAGATTGTCAGTGCCCCTTTATCAAATAAACAAACTTTATCATTCTTTCAAGTTTAAAAGCTCAAATATCAAATATGTGCACCTTTAACGAAGCCATATCTTGTTTAAAGCCTTCTTCATAAATACGAGCAAGAGCTGGCGGTGATATATTCATCTGAAGAAGAGGCAAATTAGTAAGTTGTAAATCAAAGGATTACTATAAAATATTGCAATCTTTTATCAGTTAGTTAATGGCTAATTGGAAGGCTCAAAATCCCCAAGGTAAAAAGTCAGAAAGGCATTAATTCAACATTCAGTTGGGAAGCTATAAAAAGATATTTATAACATAAAAGTGATAGTGTTTAATTTTTCTGTTTGAATTACACAAATAATATTTTAATCCTTATTTTTATATGCACAAAAGTGACTAAAGTTAACTTCATAAATCTTTATTTTTATGCAGTAAAGGGCTTCACTTCCGGGGCTAATGTTAAATGGCTCAGGAGTTCACTCTGACCCCTTACTGAGAGGGGACACTGACATATACCATTTGTCAGAGACATGGAACACAGACTCCCAGACATAAATCAGACAGGATATTAATTTTATGATAAAAGAAAAATGAGATACTTCAACTGGTCACTGTTAGTCATATTTTTAATATAATTGGGAAAAATGAACAGAAACACTTACATGTTCTGGCAAACAGGATGGCCATAACAAAAATCTGTTCACTTCAACTTAAACTTTAGTTGACAGCTAGACAGAAACGATCTTCACAACTGAACAAATCAGTGGAAAGCAGAAGTAAAGAGGAAGTTTCCAATACCCAGCATAAGCCAGGGTTTAAAACATTAACCAAAACAAAACCTTACACAGTACACGGAAGAGCTAGATCATCACACTTTGTAGGGTTTCAGGTTTCTCGTATACCTTCAAATTCTGATCAAAATGATGGAACTTGACAAAGCTAAGACACAGATACCAAACCACTCAAACCAGAGGATTTATGCATCAAGAAGTTTCAGGTATAGGTGCACCAATATATCGGCCTGATATCGGATCGGTACCAACATAAAGAAGATTGGCTGTATTGGAAATTGGCCTGGTGGGGCCAATAGTTTGGCTGATAAAAATACTAGTGCATGCACGCAGCTGAAGCAAAGCACTCAGGCAGCGAGAAGCAGAGCCCAGCAGCGTGGAGAGGTGCCTCCAGCTGGTAAGTCAAGTCTGTTGTGATGGAAGGGGAAGAGGGGGAGAAGGAGCATGGGGGCAGATCACCCCCCCCACCCCGGAGTGAGGGAAGGAGGGAACACAGGCAGATGGGGCCACAGCTTGT